GAATGCCATAGATGGTAATACAGCACTCTTAGGGTCGCGTTATGTCGATGGATATAGGCCGAGACTGCATATGCTGGACATGCTGATAGCAAAGGCATTAGGGTCTCGGGCGCCTCGTGGCAGGCCCGGCACCTTGTGTCAGGAACCTCTATATCCATCACGCGACTGCGATAGACTAAGGTGTTGAAGATACCATCCTGGCAAGCCATAATGAACCCCTCAGTTTCCAATTTCAGCCCACTCGACCTGAGGAAGCGCTTTGATAAGCCAAGGTCTCCAATGATATTGAAGAAGGCCCCATGCATTGGCTCATCCTTATGTTTCAGCAGAAGTGAGGTGTTTATATCAGCTTTTTGCTAAACGAGTCCCAACTCGGTGACAGAGTTGTGATCACCTCGTTTAGTGTCGAAAACTAAATCGAGTTCATCAACTGCTCGGGCGGCTGCCCACAAGAGAAATACTCCAATTCCTGCTCTCTCATGGTCACGGACCATGCAGAGAAGAGGGTCCGAACTCCTGACGACTTTACAGGCTATTTCCAGTACCATTCTGTCATGTACACACTCCAAACTCAGAAGTCCAAGGCCTCCCAGTTATTGGGAAAACTACAACCGTGGAACGGACGATTTGGGATGCAAACTCCTATAGAGATGCATCATTTTTCGGGTCTTTACGTCGAGTTGATGCAGCTCCTCACGAGTCCGCTTTACCACTCCAAACGAGTAAAGTAAAATATGAACGGCAAGCATATTTGTTGCAGAAACTTTGTTCTTACCCGACAGGTCCGATGACCAGATCTGTCGAAGTTTGTGCTCATACTTGCCGCGGAGAGAGTTCTTCACTGCTGTTACCTCCTGTGAGTGGCGTTGTTGCACTACGAGGTGAGTATACGTCTTTCCGGCATCCAAATGGTGTAGGATGCTTCCATCTGCGAGCTGCACATCCTCTCCGTAGTCGTTGCATTTTCCTCTTTTGAAATGGATCATTGCACGTTTGTCTACCCCAAATTTCATACCAATAGCATATATGTACTCTCACACCACCCAAAAGGGTGGTGGTATTATTTTTTTTTTCCGTAATACGCGCTGGTCAATTGTCCGCAATTGTCGATGTCCCCTCAGGACATCGACAATTGTCGATGATAATAATATTATTTTAACAAGCTATATAGTATGCTAATTGGTTTTGGTCCGTCATCGTTATTCATAGTATTATTATGTTTACTTAGTAAACATAATTATTATGTTCACTAAGTAAACATAATTGGCTATAGGCCTCATCGGCGCTGTGTAGCCAAGTGTAAAGTTGGGCAACACTTGTTTGCCGAAAATAAGAAACAACACAACGCACGGAGTCAACAACAGAAGCCAACCGCACATTCGTGGTTCCAGTTAGAAGACCTACAATTCTCAGGCTACATCTAATATGACCACGTAGGAAGTTATAACTACCTGCGTGACATCCAGGTCCGGCCAATAGCCAGAAACACGTGTCCGCGGTTTGCCACCCTTTTTGGAGTGTTGTGTCCACAAATTGTTTCATTTTTTATTTGTATCATACACACTCGATAAAATCTTTCTCTGTATTTATATCCTGGACCCTGATGTCACGCAGGTAGCTATAGCTGCCTACGTGGTCATGTTGGATTTAGCCTGGGAATTCTACGTCTTCTAACTGGAACCACAAATTTGCGGTTGGCTCCTGTTGTTGACTCCGTGCATATGTGTCGTTTGTTATTTTCGCACATGTCCTCGGTTTGACCCCCTTTTTGGATTGTTGTGTCCACTAATTGTTTCATTTTTTATTTGTATCATACACACTCGATAAAATCTCTCTCTGGATAATGTTAGCGACTGGAGAAATGTATGGTGAAATGGATTAACAGGGTCTCTCAGTTAAAAAATCAAACTCTGCTTTACTTTGCCTTCTACTTCTACTTTACTTTCGCTTCTAATGGAAAGCTTCTTCAGGGCCTATAATTTAATGATTTTTGAATATTTTCGCCTTTGAATAACATTACAATACTTACAATAAAAATGAGTGAAAAACAATGAATTGAAGATATAAATTGACGTAAAAGTTAACATGTATACGATTTTTTTGTGGGTTTGACAAATGTCATACCTTCACATAAATTTCATTTTTCAATGGGTATGATGATTTGATATTTACTGTAATGAAAGAGTTATTGATTGATACATCTTTCATTATTATTATGTTTTTGATGTAGTTCTAGTAAATTACTATATATACTGCTGAGATTATCAATGTCAGTTNATTTTCAGTATTTTACTATTAATGTAAGTTACAAAAAGGATCTGAAGCTCTCTATAACTTCTGTTTAATTATCTGCGAGCGCTTTCGACAGCTGTTCGTGCTGTCATCCTCTAGGCCCTACTCCATCTGAACGTGTCATCCTGTTGTGTGTCCTTTTATACGGTCCGAACGCTTCAATACAGGTACTTCAGGTACTTTAGGTAAACTTGCCTGTATTTGGATTACATCAGGTACTATTCTTTGTGTTGAATCTTCTCTAGGTTTATTGTTTCTAGGAGTGTGTCTTGATTTGTTCAATATATTGAATGTTAGGTCTTGTTGTGTTTTGATTTGTACTTGTTCCTCGACTGACGTTAAATTTATGGATGTTTAAGTTTTACCAAATGTCCATGCGGTTTCTTATTGACTTGTTTGATGAGTTTTATGTTCTCTGGTGTGGGGAAATTATGTTTGTTTTGTATGGCGTGTGTTGCGAGGTTTGATTTGTATACTATTGGGTTAATGTATGTCTTTTTGTGCTCATCAACTGATCCAAAGGTAACTTATATCAATTAGTGATTGAAAAATAAATACAGAAATTTGCTGTGAATAAATAATCACTTGCTCTTCGATTTTGATTTCAACAAGTGAACACATAATTTTCACAAACTTGGTAATTTGTTGCATTTCTATCCTACGAAGCGACAGATTCAACAATTTAATGAGAGCTGTTATAAAAGTTACGTGTAAATACGCCAGAATGAAGTAAATCGAGTTAAGTTGAGGCTCTGCAAATAATAATAAAGCTTTTAAGGCACACTTTTTATGTAAACTCATTATACGATCCCAAGAGAGCTTCTAACTTTTTAACTTAAATATTCGTCATTTTTATTTAAGTTTGGCATTACCGGCTTGGAAGCGTTGTTATATCTGAATTTCATCATGAATGAAGCTTCGGCTCAAATTAATGGCATAATTATTTTTAATTAGGATATTCTTCAAATTGCTTCAACATTGAGATACTTTTTCAATGTTCGTTCAGATAAGAATGGAATGGAAATATTAAAAATGTGTAATGGTTGGTTAGGAGTCATTAATTAAGAATATTCTCTGTAGAATTATAATGAGTAATGATATTTTTTGCAAGAGAGTTACATTTTGAAATGGAATAGTATGCTTTACAGAAAAAAAATTAAATAACCAGTTGGAGTTTGGCATAGTGAGTTATTCGTGGAGGTGCACAAGTGAGGGAGCTTTCCTGCAGGAGCAGCCGGTTCCTTGCCTTTATTCAAGGCAGAGCTCTTGGCGCCCGCCGCAGGAAGTGCCCTTGCTGAAATGGTGGAATGGGGAAGGAATAGGGAAGGAAGAGGGTGCACTTATAGTTGCTGCCACTCCTGTCTTCTTCGCTCTCTTTCTCCTTTTGACCTTGGCGCCGCAAATGCGCTCACGCCTTGGCGTTTGTATTACATCACGAGGTGATCTGCTATGTCCAGCCTCATGCCAAGCGGTAGATTGGGGTGGACATTTCTGTTCATCCCCATCCACCGCCTTAGATTGAGGTGAGCACTTCTGTCCAGCCTCGGGATTGGTTTTTTGTTTTTATTGTTTCTGTTTTTGTGATTGTTTCATTCATGTGTGTTGTCACGAGTAGCAAGAGAAGAGTTGGTCACCTCTGGTAGGCTGATTACCATGAGGTTTCACCCAGTTCCCCAAGGGGATCGTTCGTAACTGCATATCACCCTGCGGCCATTCAGCTGCCGGCACGATTCCTTACACCTCAGCTTGGGTAGACATGTTTTGCAAAGGCTTCTGAGGAGTTTTAGTTCCCCATATCCTTCTTATTTCTGCCACTGACCAGGAATCCAGCGACCCCGTCCGTAAGGCCACATTGGCTTCCCAGACAGGACCTTCAGTCCCATGGCCGTTCCTCTATCCACCACCTGGGGACGCGCCCGACAGGTAGCCCAACCCACAGGAACTATCATACATAATTCTTATACAAATCCATATCAATACAAAATTGCAGAATTTGACAACATGATCCACAAGAAAATTCACTCAATTCTAAGAGATGAGGATAAAATCATAAAACTTTTTTGTTCATCTGTATCAATCTGTGTATCATAGTGTGAACACAGCTTTTGAACCCAATGATAACTTTAGCAAGCATTTTAAAAATATCAAAGACAATAGTTGGGTGTCAGATAGATCAGGAGTTTATAAATTGTTATGTAGATCATGTCCGATGTTTTACATAGGTCAAACTAGAAGAAAAATCGAAACACGCGTAAAAAACATAATAGAAACAGAATATTTCTCTATTATTTAAAATTCATACATACAAAAATTGCATCGCCCATCACTTATTTTGTCAAGTTTCTGTGTTCTTAGGAGAATTACAGTACATGCATAATATTTTAACATAATATGCTAAGTGTAAACACTTGTGTTTGACTGGGTTAGTCGAAAAATGAAGATTATAGTGACTGTTAATAGATATTGTTCACAAAAATAAATATAGTTTAAAAAACTAAACAACACGCTTTTGAAGAACATCGAACTAAAATGTTAAAAATATTTTTTTAATAAGCTCAAAACGAAATATACTAGTATTATTTGTTCGTTATTGTTTTAAGCTTGAAAAAATATATTTTCAACTTGCTATTTCGATGTTCTTCAAAAGCGTGTTTTTAGTTTTTTAAACTATATTTATTTTGATAGGCAAAATTATTGAACACAACATGTTAATGATGAAGACATTTATTTTTAAATACGTCTATATAATATATATTTCTTCTATAAAGGGATGTTCCGATTTTTTTAACTGATGTTCTTTCAATACACGACACGCCTATAGATTTGTGTACCATTTTTATACTGCATTTCATCATGTAATTGATGAACTGACTTCATATAATTAGTTACTTACAAGGTTATTTTCATTATTCACTTAAAAGTGACCCAACGATTATATTTGTTCTGACTATCATACACTGTCAATGTTATTGCTAGTAGTATATCATAAATTGAATATTCAACACCCGTATGTCACTGAAAAAAAATATTTGAAATTTCCCGGATATAAATGAGTTTCAGCGAAATATACATATATCATTAAACTGTTTCCTCGATTATTTATAAGCTCACCTTTATATTGCTTGTGTGTAATGTGTGTAATAGGTTCAATCCGTTCATTAGTAAACTATCATACATACGTTATATGGAAACTTCAATTATTTTCTATCTATACGACATATAACTGCTCACTCAATTGGTGATTATTTGCTCAAGTTATATTTCGAAAAAGGCTGGCAAAACAGAGACACAAAACAAATGAAGTTGCAAAAGTTATATTTACCTGTGACAAACAAGTTACAGANTTTTAAACCGACTACCCATATTCTCTCATCCATTTTTTTGTATCAGATGGAGTAGTAGAAAGCCAAAAACTTTCTTTCCCAAAAAATGTTGAAAGTTTTTGGATCCAAAATATATATTTCAGGAGGATGGGAAAAAACATTTCCCAACAGTTTGAGAATCAATGGCGAATTCATAAAAGATGTTTCAGGCATTTCGAAATCAAAAAACATGAACTCACCCATGCATGAAACTCGAAAAATCTTTCCAAAAGGTTGGCTCAAAATTTAGATGCATAAAACCTCAATTTAATATGCTACAAAGAAAACAGGTTCAAATTGAAAGGGTTGTATTTTTAGTAGTGATTAATTTCTGAAAAAGATAGTTTTTGTCTTTCTACAACTTCATCTCTATACAAAATATGTGGGAATCTTCCAAAAGAAGGAAGGAAGCAATCAATTTGAAAATAAGTAACTCTTCACATAGATGTGTGGATCATGCAAACAAGTAACTTCAAGACACAAACTGGAAGAAAAAGCTCCCCTGAAACATCTACTTTCATATAAACATTGAATTACAGGAATGAAAAATACTTTCGAAACAAATACTTTTATATGAACACTGAGTTATACAAAAACACTTTTTTCTACTCAGTTCGATTTCCAAACATTCGTTACGGAATTGACTCAGATATCATTCACAGAATTCCTATACAATATACTAAATGAAAGAGTTAAAATTGCACTCACATGGAACAGTGTCATTCTCACTGGTAAACATCCGATGTTTCACTCTAAAACGCTCGCCTTCAGTACCAATCAGGATAACATTATAAAAAAACACATAATTCATTCATAAAACAACGATCTTATGTAATAGATGACATGAATGGATCAAACTCATTCCGTGCTGAAAAGGGTTACTAAATTGAAAGTTCTTATTTGGACGCAATCTACAGACGTTTCTAGAAATAATGTACCCCTTTTCAATAACTGTCACTGTGGACCAACTTAGTTACACTGGGATAGGAGACATTTCAAGCATACCAATAAAACAAGAAATACGGTTCACTTTGGAATTTTAATAGGGTTTTGCATCCCCAACCTTGAAATGAAAAAATTAGTAAATAATAACTATTGAACATAAACTGTCACTGTATAAGGAAATCAGATTGTCGATGTTCTTGAATGTTCTATTTTTTCCATTAGTTGCTGCAATTGGAAAAATACAGGGTCTTTCTACAGGGTACGATGCACTAAGCCTCACAACCTCTTATCGAAATCTTATTTTCAGAAATCATCAAGAAAACTCAAGGTTTTTGTTTTACACTTCTACAAATAGACTTCTCTGATGCTTGAAATCCGGGACCCCGGCAGTCTCCAGCAGTAGCCACCTAACAACATAGACAATGTTACCACCTGTTCCATCAGTCCCTTCAGACATATATACACAGAGCCCACCGAATCTAAGTATGACATTACTAAAAGTAGATATCTCTGTCTGTGTCTCACTTCTCACTCTACGTTAATCACTATGAAAAACAACTCTATGACTGAACAAAAGAAGAGTACTGATTAACGTATATTCCTAACATAAATGGATATAATCAAAATAAACAATATGGATTTTGATTAGGTATCTGCATTCTGATTATCCTCTATTTGTAGTACTGAAAACTGCTTAGAGGAATCTCAGATCTGTGGAAATAGAAATTTTGAATAATATGTATGTAACAATCCACTATTCAAACTGACAAAATGAGGTTTCTCTGTGTTCAGATTATTTCGCAAATAGTATAAAAAAAATTTACAAAATTATCGGCAAGCACATGTATTTTAGATTCGATTTATAAAAAAACAACAGTGGACCGAAATTAGATCCCTGTCGTACATCGCTAGTTGATATTTACATATATGTGTTAGGAATCACACATTAAAAGGTAAGATGTC